CCTCAGTCTAGTGGTTCTACACTTAATGCTCCTTAACCTCCTTCCTGAGGGGAGTGGGGCAAAAAGTGTGTGTGCTGGGTGGGTGGGGTCCTTCATGATGCAGGTGGCCCTCTTCCTGCATCTGGAGGTGTAGATGTCTGTGATGGTGGGGAGACTGATTCCAACAGATTTCTGTGCAGCCTTCACCACTCTCTGCAAAGCTTTTCTTTCTGCAGCTGTGCAGCCTCCATGCCACACATTGATGCTCGAGCACAGGATGCTCTCCACTGCACACCTGTAGAAGGAGGTGAGGACTGAGCTTCCCAGACCAGCTCGCCTCAGCCGTCTGAGGAAGTAGAGTCTCTGATGAGCTTTCTTGATCAGGCTGGTGGTGTTGTTGCTCCAGCTGAGGTGGTCATTCATGTGTACACCCAAGTACTTGTAGCTGGAGACCACTTCCACCGCAGATCCTCTTATGTTCAGGGGGGTGTAGGTGTTTTTGTTCCTTCTGAAGTCCACAATCATCTCCTTTGTCTTCTTCACATTGATGTGAAGGTTATTCTCTCTGCACCAGCTCTCCAGGTGTTCCACCTCTTGCCTGTAGCTGGACTCATCATTGTTTGTGATGCATCCCACCACCGCTGTATCATCTGCAAACTTTACAATGTGACAGCCTGGATGGGTAGCTGCACAATCATATGTGAGCAGAGTAAACAGAAGGGGGCTCAACACACATCCCTGAGGAGAGCCAGTGCTGAGGGTTATGGTGGAGGAGGAGAGGTTGTGGATCCTCACTAACTGTGGTCTGTTTGTTAAAAAGTCTAGTACCCAGTTGCAGATGGAGGGGCTTAGTCCTAGTGTGGATAGTTTGTCCATCAGGGTTTGGGGGATCATGGTGTTGAAGGCGGATGTGAAGTCCACAAAGAGCATACGGACGTAAGAGTTTTTCTGCTCCAGGTGGTTGAACGCAGTGTGGACCACAGAGGAGATTGCATCCTCTGTTGATCGGTTCTCACGGTATGCGTACTGATGACGGTCCTCGTTGATGTTGATGGTTGTTTTGATGTGAGTCATGACCAGTTTTTCGAAGCATTTAGCGACTATCGGGGTGAGGGCCACTGGCCGATAGTCATTCAGACCAGTCACTGTAGAGCTTTTTGGGACTGGGATGATGGTGGCAGTCTTCAGGCAGGTGGGAACTGTCTCCAGGGTAAGTGAGGTGTTAAAGATGTCTGCCAGCACCTCACAGAGCTGATCAGCACATTCCTTCAACACTTTTCCGGGGATGTTGTCTGGGCCAGTTGCTTTGTGCGGATTAATCCTCCTGAAGGTACTCGTTACTTCTGCTGAGGTCACGCTGAGATGCTCTTCATCCGGTGGCGAGGTGAGTCTGGTGCTGGGTGGTCTGTTCGGGTCTTCAAAGCGTGCATAGAACTTGTTGAGGGCATCAGGCATCAGGCATTTTAACTCTCTCGTGAAAAATTCCTTAATTTCTCACAATTTCAGTCATGGCATCAACTGACGAGGAGGAAGAGATCACTTGCCTCTTGGCAAACAAACAAAGTAAAGGTGATTAAACCAGACCAGGGATGAAGAAGGGAATTTAACTTTGGTGTTGCATACAAAACAGACCGTTGCCGGGCAGTTTATTGTGCGACACATAGTACGTGAAAGTGGTCGTAAGAATTCATTTCTGCGTGGACATGGCTTGCGGACGTCTCCTTTGAGTCCACGTGGAGTCCACCTCGAGTACGTGCAGACCTCTGCGGAGTGAAATAAGCCTGAGTATGTGGGGGCCTTAACGTGGCGTTAAGCTAGCGCTCAACACAGATGTGTCTCCCCAACTTCCTTTGTCCCGTCAGGTGACCTCGAGGAAAAACTGCATGCGGTTTGGTGAGTTGTTGTAGGTAACCAGGAAAACCCGGCGTGGACTTTTTGTGGTTTGAGTATTCTTCTATTAAATCAAGTGGAATGGATTTGTTTATGAAGAAATAGGAACAGCGTTAGGTGAACTAATATTACATGGTAAATGTGTGTGTGTGGGGCGGGATCCAAACAAATATATATATTTTTTTAATGTGAGGGGGACACATCCCCTTGACATATAATTGCTTCAAACCTATGGTTCTGCTGCAAATACACAAAAAGTAGAAGTTGAGCTTGAACCAAGAACAGAAATGTGAAGATTCTGATTAAAACATTGAATCAATACGTGTTGCATTTATCATTAATAACTCTTTCTATCAAATTATCATTTATTTCCCAAAGCCACAAGAGGTCACTCTTCAACAACACCTGAAAATTTAAAGAAATGCCAAACTGCTATGGTCACATGACCCTTCCCATGATCATATGACACACTGCCAAGAATCTAACTTTTCTGACAGGATGGAAAATCTCATGTTGGTATTTATTTATTTATTTATTTATTTTTTTGCTTCTATGGAAATGAGACAGAAACGTGAAAAATTAACTATCTGCCGTCCAGTTTTAGTTTGATGTTCACTTCCTCTCAGCATCAAACTTTCCCAACTATTTATAGGTTGTCTGGCTTTATTCACACTCATTATTAATAAATCCTCTGTAAAACTAAATCTGGAACCCTTAGCAGCAAGTCACGGAAAAAGAAGCAGAGAAAAGAGGAAACGGCAATTTAGGAACAAAGTCCAGAGCTAAGGCTCGACTTTTATTTCAGCTTTCCGATCTGTAATTTCTAAAACTGTCCATCAAATCCTAAAGGAGGAGATTCACATGTCTGACTTTTAAAACGTCTCATCTTTAAAACTTGTATTTTGCTCGTACGCGGGTTTAAAGACTTGAAATGCGTTTTGCCTTTCAATCTTTTCCATCACCGTTTTACTATTATGCCAGTCGCTTTTATGTCTGATCCTTGCTTTTTGACTCTTTTACCCATTCCATCATGATTTCCAGCATGTTGTTGTCTGTGTGCCTGCGGCCTCTGGTTTGAACTTGTCTTCCTGTCACTGTTTTCCTTTCCCACAGACGGGGCTCTCACAGCTGCACGGTGGGCAAAACTATCAAATGTCTCCATATGGTGGGACCTGCTCTCATCTGACTCAAGCAACAGAGAAATCGAACAATGGAGAAAGGAATCGAGAAGGATAAAAAAAAAAAAAAGTGGAATTCTTTAAAAAGAACTTGCTTTCAGGGCAGATTTTGGTTCAACCATTTTTTGACAGCTTGTCTAAAATCTAGAGCTCTTTAAAACCACAGTGTGACAGTGGAGCATTTAGTGACAGTTTTATTTAAACTAATTGCAATAGCAACAAAAGAAAAAAAAACTTTTAAAAAAAAGTTTTGGACAAATGTATTTATTGCTCTGGTTTGGCGAGATAAACCTACAAGTTAAAATTATTTTCTTTTTGCAGTAAAGACATTAAAATAGTTTTTGCACTGTTAAAACTGTGTAAAAAATAACAGAGCAAAAATAAAAATTAATCTTTGTCAGGCCACAATTTTTTTAAATACACACACACACAAAAAAAAGCTTTTTATTTACACATTAACACATATAATCTAGAAGTAAACAAACTTAAGTAATAGTCAATATGGAGAGCAGATAATTAAACATCAATGGCTCTCATGGAACTAATAGAAGAGATTGCTGCTGATCAAAAACAGTATTGTGTTCGTGTTTTTGTTGATTTAAAAAAGGCCTTCAACACTATTGACCACAGCATTCTCCTTGAAAAAATGAATAAATAAGGCATTACAGGATTAGCACTACAGTATCTAGTTATTTGAATAATAGGATATAGTTTGTACAGATAAACGATGTAAGATTTGAATTTTGTGTGAATGGATATGGAGTTCCTCAGGGCTCTGTGTTGGAACCAAATATGTTTATTTTGTAAGTGAATGATCTGGTTGATGTGTCAGGGCTTTTGAAGTGTGTTTTATTTGCAGATGATTTGGACGTGTCATTATTGATGAGAAGCTGACGTGGAAATCTCATGTTAATTACTTAAGAATAAAAAATAGTCAAATCAATTACATTACTGTATAAAGTAAAAAAGTTTTTGAATGACAAAGCTTTGAATATTTTGTATAACGTAACGATTGTTCCATATTTAATCTACTGTATTGAAGTTTAGGGAAAAACATGCAAAATAATTACAAATCTGATTTTGTATTTTACAACAAAGAGCTATAATAATTATTAGTAGGAAGTGCTCTGGTCACCCAACAAATATATTATTTCATCAGTTAAAATTAATAAAATTTTATGATTTGGTTGAATATAGTATTTTACAAGTCATGTATAAAGCTCATTAAAAAATATTACCCCAAAATATTCAGTTAAAAATTGTTAAAAAAAAGAGAGTCATTGTAACTTTAAGGGAATGGAAATGTTTGTAAAACCTCCATTTAGAACTGGTCTGAAGGAGCTGCGTTATAGGACTGAGGAATTGTTTGATATCACCATTAAAGTTTCTTTAACAATTTATACATATGTATATATGTCATATATATATATATATATATATATATATATATACACATTTTTTTTAATAAGGGGCAGATATTATAATAATATTTTTTCTTCTTTTTGCACCCTTTTTATTCAATGTTTTTTTTTCCTTTTTGATAATTTTGTTTAGTTTATTTTGTTTCTTTGAAATTAATGAATAGATGAATTAAATAAATAAACAAACAACAACAACAAAAGCGTTAATTTGTGAAAAATTGCAACTCAGTCCAAAAGCAATTCATCTAGCTGCCCAGTGAAGCTGCTTTTGAGCAAGACACACGAGAGTGCTGATTTTTTTGTTTTATCACTCAAACTTGATTTAAAAGGGCTTTTTATAAAGTAAAGTGTAACACAAAGTACAAGCAAAACAATTTAAAACTGCAATTATAGGTAAAGGGATTCCACAATGGTAACTGTGAGGATCATTCAGAAGATTGTAGTTTAACATCTGGGAGTAAAATGAGAAACAAACCAAACAGACACAAAGAAACAAAGAGGGAGTGATGAAATGACTGAAACTAAAACTTACCTTAGAAGGGACCCGAGCCGTCAACAGATAGACTCGATGTGATGCCAAAGCCTGCCAAGAAAAAGACAGGAGACGTTCAAAGCGTGGAAGGAGTCCTCTACAATGACAGGCCTAAGTAGCATATCAAATCTGTTACAAATAAGTTTCTGTAATAAGTCAAAACAAAGCAAAAAAAATCATAAATAAGAAAAGCAAAAAGTCAATTACACCCCAATTAAAAACATTAGGGCCTTCTGTAAAATGCTATATACTCCTTTACATTATTCTGCAATGATAGCGTATTTCCAGATGTGTAGGCGACATATATCATAAGTACTAATGCACCTCCATACCATCAGAGAAGCAAGATTTTAAACTGAGCATTGCTAAGTCAGGGAAGTGGGGAGTCAGCCTCCCCACCATCACATACATCTACACCTCCAGATGCAGGAAGAAGACCACCTGCATCATGAAGGACTCCACTCACCCAGCACACACTTTTTGCCCCGCTCCCCTCAGGGAGGAGGTTGAGGAGCATTAAGTGTAGAACAACTGTTATTATAATGCACGTAATGCCTAAAACGAACAGATAATATTTGCATTATTTGTCTGTTGAGCTGGGAATCTTGACAAGTTTGTTAGAATTATAAACCACACTGTATTAAAAACAGATAAGGTCGTAGGTTAAACATAGAAAATGATTTCTGAGAATAAAAATAAAATAAAGTAAGACTCTTCTTTTTCTCTCGGAGTCCAAACAGGAACAGATGATTCCCTCCTGCTGTTGCATACCAACAACATTTTTTCCACTAACAGAGCGACGGAGAGCGCTGGCCTCTCGAGAGGCTTTTTCACTCAGTGGGATAATAATATATATTATCTTAGACCACGTGTTGAACTGCTGCTTTGGCAGGGAGTGAGTGCACGTTATGACTCCTCACTCAGACAAAGCCGGTCTGTTTCAAGCTGACAAAATTAGCAACGTATCTTCATGCTAAGAGGGAGGTGTTTGACTTAAATGGTTCGAGCTGGACTGTCCTCCGTACATTTGTTAAAATATAATTAGTAAAGGAATGAAGGGATGAATGAATCCTCTCTGGGTGACGGGGTGCATTATTGGGCCTACCAGACTCAGAACTGTGAGCAGACAGTATAACCTTCAGAACAACTGGTTTAGTTTAAAAAGTCCTAAAACATCCCAGTTCAGGTGTTCTGCAGACATGAGTAGTATTTTTTTTATCTTTTGAGAAAGCAGGCCAACGTGTCCACGTAGGCAAACCATAAAACTGAAAAATAAAAATCTGGACAAAAAACCCAGACATAAAAAAAATAAAGTTCCATAAGCAGGATGCTTCAAATGATCATTTACAATAAAAAAAAAAAAATACAAATTTGACCTCCTTTTTAATCTAGTGCTTATTTCTGAGTTATCTATTTATGTCCAGTCCAAAGTGTCGTTTTCTTCAATAAATGTTAAAACTGTATCAAAAGCCAGGGTTAACATTGACACTTTAGAAATGTAATTTAAAATCTTCCTGCTTTTAAAAGGAACCCTAAAAACTCTAAAAAAAAAAAAACCCAACTAAAAACAACCCTACTTGTATTGCAATGGTTTTAGCTTCTCTCCATTGGCTTCCAGTCAAGTCCAGAATTAAATTCAAAATCTTACTTCTAACCTACAAAGCCATCAACAACCTAGCTCCATCTTATATTAGAGATCTTATTCCTTAGATAGAGAACTTCACTAATTGGCTTTTATGCATGTGAATGTTCCTGTAAAGTGCCCTGAGACAACTTTGTTGTGATATGGCGCTACATAAATAAACTGAATTGAACTGAATTATTGTTCCATATTTTCCTAACAGAGCACTTCCCTCTCAGACTGAAGGCTTACTCATGGTTCCTACAGTTTCCAAAAGCAGAATGGGAAAAATATATTTTTCATCTTTCCTCTCTCGTGGAACCAACTTCCAGTTTCTGTCCGTGAAGGCGACACATTGTCCTGTTTTAAAACTCCTTTATGATAAATCCTATAGTTAGGGTTGGCTTGTTATGCTGCTATAGGTTTAGACTACCAGAGGACAAACTGAGCTCTATTCTTAAAATTAATTGTTACGATTGAATAGTTTTCATTTGATACTATTTCTATCTTAATGTGTGATTCTTGACCTGCCATTGTGTATCTGTTCTTCTCAAACCCAGCCAGTCGAAGCAGATGGCCGCTTGTCCTGATCCTGGTTCTGCTAAAGGTTTCTTCCTCATGAGTGAGTTTTTCCTTTCCACTGTCGCCTTCATGCTCCAGATGAGAGTTCTGTGTTAAATTCAAAGCAGCCTGCTCCTCAGATAAATAATGTTATTAACGTACTTTTATATTTATGAATGTTTCTGTTCAGTGCCCTGAGACGACTTCTGTTGTGACTTGGCGCTTTATAAACTGAATTGAATTGTAAAAGAAATAGATTAAAAATCATAAAATACTTGTTCCTTAAACTATTTAAATGGTGCTCAGACAACTGCAGAATGACCACAAAGATATTCTAGAAAACTCCAGAAAATCTATGGATATTTGTTAAAATGATCCCCAGAAGAATTAGTGCGCAAAAAAAAAAAAAGGTTTTTTTTTTTATGCTTGTATTAAAAATCAGATGATGGTAAAAAATGTTCCTCTACGTGTAATCCCTTTTGTACATTTAAACTTAAAGCTTTACTTCCCTCTTCTTTATTTCTTTATTTCCAAGGTCCCAGACGTTTTGTTATCTTTTAAAGTGGCCTTGAGCAAAAAGTTCGAGGTTCTGAAGGATTTTCTTGCTTTTTCTTTGGAAATCCAATGTTTTTTAGTTGTTTTTTTTTTTTCATTCACTCTCTGGATTACTTCAGTAACTGATCATTTTTAAAAGAACGAGTTTTTGTTAAAAACAAACTTTTATTTGTCAACAGATAACAGATATTTTCAGCTCTGCAGACATGAAATCGTAGAAGATGATTCCTAAAAACGTATTAGTTGAAAACTTCAACAGTTACGGAACAAACTGGAGTCGCATCAGGGCTTTTGTTGGGTTTGTGATGGATGTTTTTCTTTTTTTCTATTTTCTACAGCCGTAACTTTTAGCTGAAATTCATCTGTTATCGATAAATTTTTGGCTCACCACAGCTTTCATTTCCCTCCCCTGTCCCATATGTTCAGACTCTACAAATTATGGTTTCTAAAGTGAATATTCTAGATCAGGGGTCTGCAACCTTCATGATTAAAAGAGTTTTTCACCTTCGTTCACTGGATTAAATGTGTCCGGAGCCACAACAACCTGCTACACCTGTGGTTATCAACTGGTGGCTCATGGGCCACTTTAGGTTTGCTGGAGGGGACTTACAGGTGACATTATAAACCAAAGCAACAAATATCTGAAGATTTTTAACATTTACTAAATAAAAAGACCAGATTCTTGTAAAGGGGGGGGGAGATTTTTCAGTTTTTACCACCTTTTTATTAATAAAAAAAATATACAACTATGCAGATAGTTTTTCATTTAAAAAATAAAGCATAAAGATAAAGTTTTACTACTTGTAAAACTACTTGTACTCGCTCCAGTGTTCGCATATTTTCAAAAGAAATGACAGCAAATTTGTTTGAACTCGTCCTTTTTGTTGTTTGTACAACCAATAAAATTCTGTTTTATGTCAGTTTTGGTCAAAGCTTGAAAGAGCCGCTGCAGAGGGACCAAAGCGCCGCATGTGGCTCCAGAGCCGCAGGTTGCAGACCCCTGTTCTAGATATTATATCAGCTAAAGGTATGAAACAGAGCATTTATGAATTGCTCAGGGGGCCACAGTTCCTGATTCACAATTAGCTCAGGGTCCAGACATCCAGCATTTATTGTCATTAAGTAAGTTTGTTTTATGGTTTAAAATCTAGTTTTATTTAAAAATGAACCCTTTGGTGGGCCGAACTGAGTTAATCCATGGGCCTGATTTGGCCCCCGGGCCGCCAGTTGGACAACCCTGATTTATAGAATCCAAATCTGTTTCAGGGGAGAGGAAGAGCTGAAACCAGGCCCTTCAACTGTACATGAATGTTTGATATAAATATAAGTTTTTAAACTTGTACTGATACTCTGTCATTGGGCGTAGTATTTTCTCGTGATATTTGATATAAAAACTTAGAGAACCAGAAATCTAACAGCCTGACAGGTGTGGTTCAGAAAAAAATATATATATTTTCCACAAATAAACACTAATTTTCTTGCACATATCATGAAACATTTAGTTTGTTTCACCTAATTTAAAAGAACTTATAGCAAGAGCTTTTAATCTGAAGATCTGCACCTGTGGAATGTTGTACGTGCGTGAGCGTGCACGTGTGTGTGTCCAAACACCCTGTGGCTGTGAGTGGGCTGCTTTTAGTCAAGTCATGGCAGGAGTTGCAGAGCTTTGGTATGCGAACAAAAAAAAAAAAAAAACGCAAAAGAAAAGTTACAATCATTATTTTAATACGAGACTAATTTACAAACTGTGGCTAAAGCAAACCAAGTGAGAAAGAACCAGAATGTGCATGTTTTGAGTCTTTACATGCAGCGGTTTTCTTTATATTTGTACCTGTATTTAGGGATGAATCAGCGTACCTGCAGGTCCATGAAACCAGACACCCTGCAGCAAACACCCACGTTCTTTAGCTAACTGACGCCATCTTCACAGACTTTGTGCAACAAAACCATCTTGAGAAGTCTTAAAGTTGCACATTAAATGCCACCATTAATGGTTTAAAAAGCTTACAAAACAATTGCAGAAACTTCTTCATACAAACTATGCATTTGATTTAATATTTTCATTAATTTTAATGGCATTTTAAACACAATGCCAACAGTTTGGGGGAAGTCCGTTCCTGTTTTGGCACGACGTATACAAAGCTACAAAAACGGCTCCAGTTTTGGCAAAAATAAATACAAATCTGAACTGGACTTTACAAAGCCCTGACCTAAAGACCAACTTTTAAACACTATGAGAGCATTTCTCCAAGCTTGAAGCTTCACTTGCAAAAGAGATCTGCAATCTCAATGGGATTAGCCTGATTAAATGAAGGTTAATAATAATAATAAATGATAAAATATTCAAAACAAACAAGGACGTCTAAATGTGAGTTCTGCTTCTAAAGTACAGAAGAGACTGAGCTCTGCATCATCTTGACCAACAAATCTATTAATATCAGTTTGCAGCTGTACAGCTGCTGAGAAAAAAAAAAGGGAAGCACCCAAATCCTGAGACACTGTTAGACGGAGCTTCTGCAGCCGCAGTCATTTAAAATATTTAACAACCTCACTGTAAGACAACCAGGACTCTGAAGTGATGAGCAGTTTTCTCACAGCATCATTCTCGTGATTAAAATCTCATGATGAAAATGTTTTGTTTTTTCACTCTTCGATAAACAGACCATAATATAAAGTTCTGTTTTAAACGGTGACATTAACTGTTACAAAACACCTTCAACTGCACATCGTTTCACGTAAAGCGTGAGAATCGTCTGCAGTTTGGCCAAGATGAGTGACAGAAATGACGTCAGGAAAGTAGAACAAAGTGAAGTTTTAGGTTCCAGCCAGAAGTTTCTTCAAGACCCACAACAAGCTGTGGCATGGATGGATAAAAAAAAAAAATAGATACATAAACAATAATTATAAATAAATGCATTGTCTTGGATGTTGGTTTAGTTCCGTATCTCTAAAGCAGAAACACAAGATGTTTGAAAAATAATAGTGCAGTAGAAGGACTAGTAAACTTGCACAAGTTAATGTCCATTTAACTGTTTAATTCTGGGCAGAGAGAGAATTTTGAGTTGTTTAAATATTAAAAACACTGTTGTAATGATTTGGGAAGCCAAGAGAGCACCAAGGCCCCCGCTTTCTGCCGCTGCCCATGACATCATACACCGACTTGTATGGCCCCTCTTGCAGGTGGTGGGCTTACAGGAAGACAAACCGATGTTGCTTGTTTGGGCTGAGCCCGACCAGACCCCATGGGTAGAGACCCGGTCACCAGGCACTTGCCAATAAGCCCTTCTCTCAGGCCTGGCTCCGGGGTGGGACCCCAGTAACCCATGTCCAGGCAAGGGACACTGCGGCTCCTTGTATTTTCTTGTCCATACAAGTCTTTGGAATCACTATTTATCTGGTCTGTCACCTAGAAGAACCAGTCTGGCTTGGGCCACCAATAGCAAAGATCTTAGGATCATTCAGGCGCATAAACTCCTCCACCGTGATAAGGTGCAGATTCAAGGAGGAGGCGATTCAATTGCTCTCTTTGGGTCGAGGGTGAGGTTCTGCCTCAGGTGGAGTTCAAGTATCTCGGGGTTTTGCTCGTGAGTGAGGGAAGAATGGAGCGTGAGATTGACAGACGGATTGGTGCATGTCTGCAGTATTGCGGCCTCTGTGCTGGTCTGTTGTGGTGAAGAGAGAGCTGAGCTGCAAAGCTCTCTGTTTACCAGTTGGTCTATGTTCCTGCCCTCATTGATGGCCACGAGCTCTGAGTAGTGACTGAAAGAATGAGATACAGGTGGTTGAAATGAGTTTCCTCTGCAGGGTAGCTGGACACTTGCTTAGAGATAGGGTGAGAAGTTCAGTTAACTGGGAGAGACTCGGAGTAGAAGCGCTGCTCCTCCACATCGAAAGGAGCCAGTTGAGGTGGACTGGGCATGTCCAACTGGGAGGAGACCCCGAGGAAGACCCAGTACACGCTGGAGAGACTATGTGTCTCTGTTGGTGTGGGAACGCCTTGGAGTCCTCCCAGAAGAGCTGGAAGAGGTGGCTGTGGAAAGAGATGTGTGGGCCTCCCTGCTCAAGCTGCTGCCCCGCAACCTGACTTTGGAACAAGCGGAAGATGATGGACGGATGGATGTATGGATGTATGGATGGATGGATGGATGGATGGATGGATGGATGGATGGATGGATGGACTGTTGTAATGCATTTTTTCCAAATAAATTATTAGGTTTCCTACTTAATGACACTAAAAGTCACCAATATCATCATCAATGTTGGTCCTGCCTAGTGTGGGATCATTTAGGAGAGTGGTGGCGCAGAGGTTAGAAGATGGGCCTGTGTTCAGAAAGTCGCAGGTTCAACTCCCTGTACCATCAACATCAAAATGTGTGTGGAAAAGGTGAAACACCCACACCTGTCTCCAACCTCATTCGCCCCACTCTGGGCCCCTGAACAAGGCTCTTAACCCCCACCATTTGCTCCCTAAACAGGTCTTTCTTGCAAATGAGTTCTCGTGACTCAATGAAACCAACCTGTATAAATAAAGGGTAAATGAAAAAAATAAAATAAAATTAAAGAGTTTATTTGAGAAAATCTGGTAAAATTTGTCTAAAGCACATTTCAGGTAATTCCTGTTGTTAACTTAACTTATTAGCAAACCTAACAGAGTTTTTATGTCCTATTGTGCAACATGTGTCTTTCATCCAACCTTTTTTTTTATCTTACACTACTGAACATGGTGACCTTCAGAAATGACTTTCAACACAACAGTACACTTCTACTTTTCAGAACAATATTATTTCAGAGTAATTTAAAAAAGTTAAATAAAAGACATTCCTAGAAGTCATGTCCAGTCCTTTCCACAACCTTCCCACATTTTAAGCTTTAGATATTGACCGAGTGACGACAGCAGCATTTTAATTTTAATTTCAGAATTATAAAGTGTCGTTTGTTTTCCTGCTGTCAAACCTTTACTCAGATTCTTCTTAACTTCATCTTCTACCACAGTAATGCAGCATCAACACATCCCAGAAGTTTTTAAAACCAGTAACGCAGCCGGTCAAACAGAGCCGACCACATCTCATGAATAAAGACACTCTGCAGGGTGAAGACGAGGCGCTCGGGGAAACGTGGATCAAAGCGGTTTCACCTTTACAGTACTTACAAAAGAAACCTCACTCACCAGCACTCTGTGCTCCACCTTGTCACCTTTGACCTCCAGCTGGACTTTGCGCCTCAGGGTCAGTTTCACCCTCCGACCCACCGCCTCCCGCATGCTCTCTTCAACACAAAGAGAAGGAGAAACGAACACAGTGACAGCAGGAGGGAGGTCACATTACAAATAATTACACGACGAGCACACAAATTTCACAAGGGAGGTGTCGATGCCTGCAGCTCCATCGATCAATGCCACAAATTAAATATTTGTTTTATCTTGTATATGAAAGATTTAATTTTAAATCAAAGGCCTAGAATTGGCCCGATGTTTTTGAAGCCAGTGTTTTTAAGATCTTATAAGAAATGATGGAGTTGTAGCCATTTTAATCAAATCTTGAAAACATTAAGCAAAATCTCTTGTGTTGTATCAAACTAAAAGTAGCTGTTGTCAAAGACTTTCAGCTACTACCAGCTCAAATTTTAGCTCATGATTTGTAGAAATGAATGAGTTATAGTCATTTTTGTGTTGACTAATATTAATGAGCAGTGGTGACCATTTTTGATTGAACTGATTCCAAAACTAAATCAGTTGTAGATGAACACTGGAAAATTATATTCAGAAAGGTATACTAAAATCTAGAAGGTTCATGAGTTATTTTGCTAACATATAGAGATTGTCGAGCCTAAAAGCTACTGCTAAAGCTTGAAACAAAAATCTCTATAAATATAACTTCCAGTGGTTCCCAACACAGGTCCTTGAGGAACACCATCCTGCATATTTTACTTGTTTCCCTGCTTTGACGCACCTGATTAGAATGAATGGGTGATTAACCGGCTTAGCAGAACTTGAGGAAGTGATTAAATCACTGAATCAGGTGTGTTGGAACAGGAAACAACTGAAATATGCAGGATGGTGTTCCTCAGGGACCACGGTTGGGAATCACTGATTTTAGACTATATGTTGTGAAGCAGTCTTAACTACAGCCACACCAAACTTTAGCTCATAACTGTAAAACATGTAGCAATTTTTTTTATAAGGTGACTGTGGCAGCCATCTTGAGTTCTAGAAGTCAATCACTTATAGACATATCAAATGATTATTTTACAAAAGTTTTATAAAAATGCATTCAGTAGTTTATGAGATATGTTGCTAACAGACAGAGTTAATAGCAAAACCTTAAAACAAAGATCTTGCACAATCTGTTAATGCTCAGATTATGTGTTGGAGATCAACCTCAAACACTAATGGACCAAATTTTAGATCAATCTCTCAAAATGACAGAGTTATAGTCACTTTTGTAGCTGCAGCAGCCATTTTGAATGCAATTAACTTCTAAAGTTAATAGTTGCTGATGGAGCCAGTTTTGATTCCACAGTAATTTAAATGTACATTTTTGATAAGATACAAAATGATCATACTGTTTTAACGAGCTTCTTGGAAAGTTGGAGATTTATATAAAACTTTATAGAACCAATATCAGCATTAGCTGTAGGAGTTGTGGAAAACTTCTGTCTCTAGTAGTGGACGAGAGGGTAGGAGTTATCAAATTCACCAGTGGAGAAGACCGAGAAGGGAAAGAGAAACAGATAGAGGTGAAATGTGGGTGAGTTTGGGACACAGTGTGCGTCCTAGCCACGGTGGAGAAGGGGCAGAAATGTGCACGAGAACTCAGGACCGCCTTCATGACATCATGTCGCTCCCCTCCAGTCTGAACTCAGACTCACGATGAGGTCACGAGGAGAATCAAAACATTACGGCACGAAGCAGCGGGCAGGCTGATCAGAAACACATGGGCTTCGCTCTGCGTCCAACTCCCTCACACGAGAACTCTGATCTTCCCTAATTAGTTCAGAACCTCCGACAAGTACAAGCAAAACAAAATTTGCCCTCGCACTCTGCAGTCATGGAGCGACTCGGCCTACAAAACGTCTGACGGAAGAAGAAACAAACATCCCCTAATTTCTTAAAACGTAAAGTGTTTAAAACCTGGCACTAGTATGATTTAGAATTGTGTTGCAATCGTAAAAGGCAGTCAGGGTCTTGAGCGTGGTTCTGTTCAAGGTTTCGTCTTGTTAACAGAGACTTGTTCTTTCCCACTGCTGCCAACGTTCTGGTGGTACATGTGACAAAGTGAAGAATTTTAATCAGCTGGCTTCCTCGTACAGATAACTGTTTACTGTTGGTGTTTCATAATGTGCCGTTTGTGAATATACCGTGTCGTAAATAAACTGAACTGATAGTTTTATTTAAACTTGGACTTGATATTTTTGTTGCATAGAACAAATTTAGTTGTGCATTAATGGTATATACTGTCAATAAACTGATTTGAACTATTAATTTTGTCTAAATACATATTGGTGAATGCTTTGCAATAGGCTGAGTCAAGGACTCAAAGGCGTTCCAACAGTTTGGTGTCAGAAGTATAGTTCTCTGTCACGTAAGCTCTCATGTGTTGGCTCCCCATCATTAACTCAGATGGTTTGACCATCATATTCACCACCACCTCCCAAAAGCCAAAATAGGGTGGTGCATGAGGCCAGACTTAAATGGGTAGTTTGAGAAGAGAAATACATAAATTACACGTATCCTTCAAGGCTAAGATATTTGTAAGGCCAGTGCAGAACTAGTTACGACCAGCAGGGGGAAACTCTTGTCATTGCAAAAGGAACGTTAACCCATTAACAGTCTTGTCTGGGGCTCAGTATTTAAATCTACATCTATTAAAAACGTGACGTTCGTGAACGATTCCAATTTTTGGAACGACTTTTTAAAACGAACGATGAGAACCAAGTCATAAACAACTACAAGCTGTTTCTTTGTTTGTTTGTTTTTCTGTCCTCGTGTTTTCCTCCTCAGGTGCAGACACGGACACGTCACTACATACGGCCTACGTCACTGTGTAGGCCGCATGTAGTACTCAAAATGGAACGGCTATGAAACGAACAGACATACGACGAGTCATTCATTGTATATTTAAAGTCAATCATCTCTAACTTGCTGCTTATTTAAGGGATTAAAAAGCTTAAAGAAAATTAAAATTCACTACTCAGTCTCTTCAATGAATGGTTTCCTAATAAATATGTGGGACCTATCACTAGTATCGGGGCTTCTTTGCTACCAGTGATTTAAATATTGATCATATTTAAAAGAAACCAGAACGTATCAAGGTAAACTTCAGGGCGAGGGCACTTTGTAATTGACAAATGCTCCTCTGATTGTTGTGCATAAATCTAAAATTTGTAAAATCTACAACTGAAAAGGATAACTCAGAAAAACTCAATTATGGCTTTGTCAGTGAGGTCATCTGGACGGTTTATTTTTGTTGAAATGTTTCGTCTTTCATCCAGAAGGCTTCATCAGTACGAGAAGCTGCAGCAAACTCAGCCTTATAAATAGCATCTCCTCATAGTGGGTCAACCAGTTTGATGGTGTTCAGATGGTTTCTATAGTTCGTCCTCTCCCTTGTCGACTCGTTTGAAGCAGTCATGGCCAAAGTGGTTCAAAACATCTTGATTCATGCTCAGTAGTCCAGTTAGAATGAATCAGGATGTTTTGAACCACTATGGCCATGACGAGGCCAGTCACAATAAACAATAAATCAATTAATCGCATGATAAATGAAAATTATCAACCTCATTTTCATTTATCGGCTTTATCGTTTCTTTGTGTGTCTCTTTCTACTGAAGACACTGGATGACTAAAGCTCAACTCCGGTGCTCTTCACTGACCCCTCCCTTTCTCTTTTCTCTAAAATCTGTTTTAACGGTCCAAAATCACGTTTTTGGATCGTTAAAAGCAGCTAAGCCGAGAAGCTAAGCTATGCGCTAAGCTAACAGGTTGAACTCGGGGAAAAACCTCTGTCTTGTCGAAGCTCCAAAACTCACAGTTGAAACCCGTGCCTTCGTGTAAAAAGTTGTTTTTTCAAAATTGTTGGATTGTATACCTGGATTATTGAGCATGGACTTTTTTTTGTTTTGAACCAGTTTGACATGACTGTCGACGAGGAAGAGGGCCGGCACAAGAGGAGGGGGCGTGCCAAAGACACCATCTTAGCACCAACATAACTGGCTTGTTCCACTTTGGAGTAAGCTGTTTGGGGGAAGAATCAGTTTTTGTTGTGTGTTTCCTTGACTGGTGAAGCCTTCTGGATGGAAGGTGAAACGTTTCAGCAAAAAAAGAAACTGTCCAGATGACCTGACTAAATATTGTTGGGAAGCTGAGAACTTGTTTACTGATTTTTTTTTTTTAATTAAAAGCATTGTGTGACAAATGCTATGCTAAAGAGCTTAAACCACACAGAGCGTCTGCTATTTTGAGAACAAAAAAAAAGAAAGAGGCACAGCCCATGTCACGTCAAGGGGCCTCCATCCCATTTTTCTTAAAGAGATACGCTGCTTGCTTCTTCACTATCCATCCTTCAGTTCAAACAGTCTTATACTGCCATCCGGTGGTCAAAAAATGTACTACACGCAAAACTAATCAACATTTCTTCTTAAATTTGACAATAATGACTACATATTGTCAAATTTCAAACAATATTATCGTTTATCACAATAATTTCTGAGACGATTAATCAGCCAGCAAAATTTGTTATCGTGACAGGACTAGCCACGACTGCCTCAAACGTGTTAGCAGGGGAGAAGGCGGGCTAAGGAAACCATCTGAACACCATCAAACTGGTGGACCCACTATGAGAAGATGCTATTTATAAGACTGAGTTTGATGCAGCTCCTCAGACTGATTAATTATTTTGGATGAAAGACGAAACGTTTCAACAAAAAAAAAAAAAAAAGGATTTTTTTCTACCTGGATTATTGAGCATGAATCTGGAGGTCTTTGTGCTCAACTGCCTTGAGTCGAGGACACTTTTGTCTTTCTGCCTTTACATTTCCCCCTACTATTCTCAGATTTCATTCATTCAGCAACTGCGATCATGAAAGTGCCGACACAATGAGCCTTTTCCTTCAGTTTTGAATTTCTGATGATGAAGCGCATCAGATCACTGAACCAAAACAACAAAAAGCCTCATTGATCACTCAGTCCAGAGACGTACAGTGATATTGGACTGCAGAAGCAAAACAGTGAGCCAGCGTCACCGTGCACAACTGGGTTTAGTTTGATTGCTAATGACAGCTTCATGAATGAAATAGGGGCGTATACTGTACTATACTTGAATGCGCAAGACTAATTCTGCAACTAGACTTATTATTATCCTTTCATTAAAATCAAGGGCTAATTGTGTTGTCCTTCATTCAGCAATAAACTGGATCAACATGGCAGATACCAACACTTCAGTCCAAAATGAGGAGTCTAAAGGTCAACGTAAGTCAAACTCAAGACAAACTTGGCATGAGCACAATGTTTAACTTTGAAGTCAACAGTTTAGCCTAGTTGCTACAGGGAAATTACACTGATTTACTGTTCTTGTTGAGACTCAGTCATCCATGCAGTCTGTGTTGATAATATCTCACAATCCAAAGGAATTTCACAGGACACACCCCTCTTCCAAAGCCCTGACTCCCATTCTCAGATAAGGAAGTTGGAGAAACCTGAAGGTAGCCAGAAAGCCCCCTCAGGGCATGAAAATCTATTTCTCACTGAAATGCAGAAACAATGAGGAAACTTTTGACTCTTCCTCTGTCGTTGATTAAATCACTGGTTGAAAAAAAAAACCTTCAAATTTGTGTTTGTTGAGCAATAAAACTTTAACTTCTTAATGCTTATAGACTAAGAACTTTTTCAAGTTACAAGTGACTTTTGTGTGCCATTTACTTATTTAACATTTTATACATTTAACTTGAAAATAATCACACTGTGCTGACTTAAATCTGTCTACCTTTGGTGTTGCTTTAATTTGAAAAGCCCCCACATGCTGTGGTTGTCTAAACATTTAGGATAAGTTCACAAAGTTACCGAAAAGTTCGTTGGTGATGTCGGATTGTTCCTCCATGTCTTCTGCCGAGGTGATCCCGAAGCTGAGGCCGGCGGTGAGCGCAGCAGAGGCGGATAGACTCGGGCAGGAAGGGGGGGTTGGAGACGGACCTCAACCGGGAGGAGCTGCAAAAAGAAAACCCTGGCTAAGGTGTAGTCCTGCTGTCTTTAGTTACCTGTCGACACCCCGCAGCTTACCTAACTGTTACTATCCGCTACCATCCTGTGCGCGCACATGAACGCACTTTACTTTAGCGTCACACCAGCAGAGGCGTAAAAACACCGAGTTTCAAGGTGGCCTCGGTGTGAAATGAAACTTCAGCCCAAACGTGTCGACAGTCTGTGCGTGCACGAAAACAAATCACGCAGGCACATTTCTACACTCACGCACGCCTTCAGCAAGTCTTTCCATTCCGTCCAGCTTTGTTTTTGCTGCCAAAACTGGGACAACCCTGACACCTGCTGCCCACCAGGCCCCTGTACAACACATCAAACCCCATGAGCTGAACTGAGGAGTGAAATGAGCATGAATGAATGGAAGTTACTGGTTTATAGTGGTGGGGTCAACATCTCACAGTGGGCCATAAAGGACCAACTACGGGTCCTTAGATAATCAACATGAAACAATTAAAAGTTTTCAACATGAAATATTCACAATCATGCAACATCTATTAAATAGGTTTACATAAAACAATGAACTTATAAAATCAACACATAATTGCGTGCATATATATATACATATATATATATATATATATATATATA